AAGAAAAAATCCCAGGAAAAAAAACAATTATTTTTGTTTGATAACTAAATAGTTTCCATTAATTTTTCACTTTTTTAAAATCTATTTTTTCTTTCTTTCACAGCTTCTATTTTTCAAGATAATTTTAAAAAATTGTTGAAAACTATAAAAACAAAAAAAAATTTTTTTTATTTTCTCATTTTTAGTTTTTCTAAAGTTGTCTACAAATTGAATTTCCATTTTTAAACCTCTTTTTTTTTTTTCTGTCGATTTAATGTCTAAAAACATTCAATGCTTTAACTTTTTTCACCAGTCTTAAAGCCTTATAATTCTAAAAGGATGAAGAAAAATATGTCGATCTTTTAAAAAGTAGTTGTTAGAAAACAAAAAAGAACAAAAAAAGAAATTTTCGTTTTTATGTACTTTCTCATCAGTTTTTTAGAGGTTTTCCTATACTATAGATATGTTTACCATTAAAAGCCAAGTTCAAAAACCATAGCTTCTTTAGGCAATTTAGAGAGCAAAATCTTTTGTTTTGCTGTTCAAATTCAGTTGAACCTATAGATCAATTAAAGAAACATAAAGACTTGAAAAAAAAAAAACAAAGTCAGAAAAAGGAAAGACAAAATAAATTATGCAACAGTTTTTGCTTAAAGCCTGAATAAAAAATTAGGATTGGCTAGAAGAAAAAAAATTGACTTTTGTAAAACAGGATTATATGCGCCTAAAAGTTTAATGCCAAAACAACTTGATCTTTTAGAAGCTGTTTCGATTTTGACTTTTGTATAAGATAAAAACAAAAAAAAAAAAAAAACAAGAACAAAATCAAGCTGAAAAAGACAGTAAGTAGATGAATTTAAAAAATAATTTTTTAGGCAAAAATGCTTTATTGCAATAAAGTTTATGCTATCCAAAATTTCATTTTATTTCGTATTTAATACACTAAAGAACTCTGAATTATCAACACAAACAAATTTTTTTTTTGATTGTTCCGTTAATTTATAGCTCCAAAAGAAATAGAAATTAAAAACAAAGAAGAAAGTATAAATTAAAAAAATTCTTCTTTCCCTTTTAAAGGAGAAGAACAAAGATTAAAAAAGTAAACGATGATTATTTTTAGAGCAACAGTTCCTTAAAATCAAACCAGGACTCCTCCAGCTCATTGTATCTAATGGTGGTGTATCATCGTCACGCTCCAACTGTGACATATTGTCTAGAAGTTGTGAAGAACCAGAATAGCTAGTTCGTGAATCACTTCGTAACGCCGATTCCGTTGGATCATCACATAACCGTTTACCGTCACCACGTTTCGGCGATGTACCGCTGGTTTCTGATGTTTCATCCAGATTTTTCATCAACAACCAACTGACACGTTTTGTTAAAATTTTTGGCCTTGGACTTTCTGTATGAAATTCCGTATTTTCAGCTCGATCGCTTAGCAGCGGTTCACTGCCCCGTTGATAACCTTCTTTATGACCATCAATCAACGCAGTTCGTGAGGCATGTCTGCTGGAATGTTGTGAGCTTGGACTGGCTCCAGTTTGAAATGATGTCCGTCGCAGTGTGCCAGTTGATGAGGACGGTAATCGTTGTAAGACTTTTGCAACTTCAGCATCTTCCATCAATTCTGTTGGGCAAGAAGTGACTGAGTAATTGGATATAGTTGAAACACGCCGTTGTTCGGGTAGATACAGTAGCGTATGTGATGGATGACGACTACAGCATGCAAGTCGATCGCACTTACAGTATAGATTTTGTACACCTGGTACCGCAGTGAGTCCTGTAGCTTCAATACTCTCACTAGCTTTTCGTTCTTGCTCAACTGCTGTATGATTCTGAGCAAAATAACTATTTTGACTTATTTTACGTTGGCTGATTAACGGTTTTCCACCATTTGTTGACGTCACAATAACCTTGATACAACGGTTATTGTTTAATGCTGGAAATGAATGCGTTTTAGGTGGACTAAGCGTTTTTTGCACTAAGTTTTTGTCATTAGATGCAGACATATCTTATATTTACTCAAACAATGTACTGCTTATAAAAAGCAGTCTTCATCGAGCAGTATATCAATTGTATAGATCAACAGATCATTTGATCGATGTTAAAGTCACTTAATTAATCGATCAAATAAAACATCAATTTGATAATAGCAGTATGTTGACGACGATGACAGTTCATTATCATACTTATAACAGTGACCGATAGTAATATTGAAAAACCATATAACATCCGTATAAAATGCAGTACAGTATATATTCAGCAACTGTTGTAATCGTCCAAATTTAGTGTTTCTGTTATTATAAAGAGTAATTATTGATATTAACACTAGCCAAATTTGAATAGGTCAAGTCATCTCAGTTTAAGCAGAACTCAATAATTGACCGTCAGATTGCAGTATCATCCTCAGAGATATTAAGTTCAGTGGAACCTTTTCTTCGTATAAGAAACAGTGATAAAGGGAAGGTAAAAAGTCAATAAGAATAATAATAGCAATCGAGTAAAAAGAAAACTTAAAAAAAATAAAAAAATTTTTTTCTTAATTATTTTATTTCTTTTTTCTCCAGGTTTGTTAAATTTAATTTAGGTTAATATTCACTGCTGTTATTGATGTTGTTACTATTATCACTGTATTTGCAATAGGCAATAATAGGCCAAAAAAAAATAATTGGAAGCAGTAAAACAGTGTTAAACCATGGTTCAAATACCCTCAGTTGCAGAACAGATAAAGATATATGAAAAGTAAAATATTCCTCGACTGTTTCCTATGCTTATCTCTCTTTTTTTGCTTCTGATGCAGCTAAAAAGAATCGGTTTGATAAGGAGAAAAAGTTGAATAAAGACAGGAAAGCAGAAAGGTCGGACGACAGAAGAAATAGAATAAAGTTGTAGATAAAAAATAGATCAAGAAGAAACAACAACAACAAGAAAAACAGATGAGAAGGAAGACCACTTTTTCAGCTAAGCTTTCTTGTATTAATGATCACTCAATTGTATTTTAAGATTGCGAGGGAGAGAACTGAGACGGTTGCTTAAGCCATGCCTACTCGATATCCTTTCTTCTCTGCTCTTCCTTATACTTCCTTTGTCTTCTCTTCCCTATCTTCTCCATGTTCTGTTTTGTCTTTCTTTTTTACCATGTTCACCAGGTCTCTCTAGTCTTGTCTATGTTAGCGATATTAGTTGATAGCGACTGACTGGCAGCCACGCCCGTTCATCGCTTCTCTAAGTGCTCATGCATTTTGCTTCAAAAGCCGATATTGCTGGTTGCTACTACTGCTGATGCTCTTCATATAGTTAAGTCTTGTCAAGTACAGATGATGACTGGAAAGCAGTGAAGTAACGGGAAAGAGGGTGGGTGAAGAGGGAAGATGGCGGATTGGACAGGGAGAAAAAAGAGAGACAAAAGCAGGGAGAAGAAAAGAAAAATGTTTATTTTTTGATTCTAACTTTTTTTTTGCATTGAAAAACTTTAAGCAACTTCTCTTGTTCTCTTTTGCTTTCTCCTATTTCAAAGTTTAAATGCAAGCAATTTGCTGTCGTAAACGTTGCATTATTTCTGGAAATTTGAAAATGAAGGAAGAAACTTTGTGAAATTTCTTCTGTTTTTTTTTTCTAGTTTTTTGGTCTTTGTATTAGAAATAAAAGAGGGGAACAAAAAAAGGATGGGATAAAAAGAGGTCAACGAGTGTATTTTGTTGAGTTCATGAAATGTAAAAAGCTGAAAGAAACAGCTAAAAAAGGGCATAAATTAACACAGCCAAATACAACAGCACTTCCCTTCAAACTCTTCAGAAAAATAATATCACTGACACCCTAAAAAATCCTGCCAATCAAAAAAAATAGTTTAAAAAAACTTCTATCCTTTTTCATCTTTGCAAACAGAGAAATATGCTGTTTTTATGTCAAAATTTTTGGCTAGAATAGTTCAAAATGAATTCCAAAAAACACAAAATTTTTCTTTAAACTAAGATTAGTGTTAAAGGTAAACTTCGTAAAAGTAAATAAACACATTTTTGGTTTGTAACCTATCTGTTTCCTGTATCCACTAAAGATAGCTATTAAAAGTAACCAAAAATTTAACGATTTTCTTCTCTTTCCACCCTTCTTCTCTACTGTTTTCTCCTGCTCACTACTTAAGTTTAAGTTATTTTTTGTCAGCAATAAAAATATTAAACTTCTTTCCTCCTCGATAGAGAGCGAAACAAAAAAATAGAAACAAACAGCAGAAAGCAAAACGAAGAAGAAAGAGTATAAACATTAAGCTGATGATAATAATTTGTTAATGAAAAATACTGAAAAAAAGTGAAAAAGGAAAAGCGGAAAAAAAAAGAAGAGGAAAAATAAT